ATGTTCGCTAGCCGCGTTGATCGGCAGTTGCTGCAGGTACAAATGTACAAGGTCCAAGGCTGGTGGAGGATGGAACAAGATAGTGGTAAATATTCGTCAATGAACTGATACTAATGGCTGATTATTATCTCTGGGTACGGTGATGGAAGAAGAAGGAAGTAAAGATCTCAAGGGAGCTTTTTATTTTTTTTCTGAGGGAGCCTGGATCAAATATACCCCTTCGCAAGTCAGAGTGGGAGTGGGAGTGCTGAGCAAATGCTCGGGTCCCCCAAAAATCTAGCGGTCAAGGCGACGTGGGATTGTCGCATTTCAAACGAATCCGGCTGGACCTTGTCAGCTCCCCCCAAAGCCACCAGAGGTTTCCCCGGAGCGCCACGAGGCGCGCCGGGCCATCGAGCAGGGGGTGATGGAATGGACCCGAGCCACAGGATGAGAGGACTAGGCCGTAAAAGTCGAGCCGATGGTAATTCAATCAAGCCCATTCGGTCATTGACTGGAGGACATTCAGGAGCATCCAATTCCTTGGTGTTTGTTCTGCACACGGGGCCTGACCGTGAGTTTCCTCCCTTGGATTTCCTCCCCTTCTTTGTGGTTTGTTATTCTGGGCCTTGATTAAGACAATTGATCGCCCTTTCCTGGTATGCATCGGTGGGATCCGTGAGGCGATTGATCGCCCCCTTTTTTCGTGCTGCACACTGCAAGTCGAAGGGGGTGACGTGCTCTCGATCGATTTGAAAGAGGATCCGAAGCAAGCAAACTTCTCGCCCTCCCCATAGTTCCATAGTTCGGCTAATCAAAGTGGGCAAATCCATTTCCGATGCTTTGGAAACCTACTCGTACCGGTGTGAGGCATGCAGGAGTCTTTACCTACGCGTTGGTACGGACTTGCGGTCCTAATCCACTGGTTGGTGATTAGAGAGACACAATGAGCTGCACCATCGTTTGGAGGCTTGCAGAGCTGCCAAGTCACAAACAGCTTACTTGATGCAAAATTCGCTTTTCCCATCGTGTCCATCCCGCACTCGTATTATCCCGGCACAGTAGAGTTTTATCACCGAATCCCGGTTGGTAGGCTTTGTGATTTTCCAAGTTTTTTTGTTGAATTTTTCTTTTTGGTTGGCTCACAGCCATCTCGTATGCCCCGGTCGGTCTGGGGGACACCCTGGTGGATTGGAAATGTGAGAAAACCTGCCCCCAATTCTCCTCGGCCGCCGTGCGGATGTGACACACGCGGAATGGGCAACCCGGGAAACCAGCGATGCAAGAAGGGCATGGAAGAGAAGGCGGCCACGGGGAGAGAATGCAGGTGGATATCACCACAAGACGGGGGGATGATTCCTGGCGCCGGATGTGTCCAGCGCCCCAGCGCCCCATTTCCTTCTCTTACGAGTACTTCTCCCTTCTTGTCCTTAGTCGGAAGCGAGATGTGGGTCAGCAAAGAGGCTCCTTCAGCTGTGCTCGTGTGTTGTACTCTTGTATGCTGTGCTTGACTTGCTGTGGAGATCCAACTATGCTCTGCATCATCACCACCACCACCGCACGCAATCGGGGGAGGTGCAAGTGTAAGTGCATTGATGCCCAATACACCGACCAAGCGGTCAAGGCTGGGGAAGCGACTCTAGAAGGGGTAAATGTGGTGAAAAGGGTGGAATGACTTGTGGGCATGAGTGAGGCCTGGACACGTTGACCGGTGGGAGATGGACACACAGCATTCATCCATTGCAAGGGAGATGCTTGGGAATGCGAGCTTCTCCGCAAAAAGACTCACACACTCAAGCGAGAACAAGCCAGTCCCTTGCTCACAATGGCCCAAGGCAGGCAGTGATTGTCGGGTTGCAAAGCCATTTGGGGGCTGGGGAATGAGGAATGAGGAAAAAGTGAGGGAGCGCATCCGTGGCAGGACTGGAGAAACGAGGGCGAGTTCAAGGGATCATCCTTTGTGTCACCTTTGACATCAAGCATCCATCAAATCACATCTCTCATCTCACTCTGGCCACAATTACCAGATAAAATTACTCCGTGGCCGCTGGACTCTGGGGATCTAGAAGTCTACCTCGTAGTCGATTTTTCTTGTGTCCCGACCTCCTCGCCTGGCCCGCGTTCGCTTCTCGCACTTTTTCGTGTTTCGCCGCCATTTACCCCGTTCGTACATATCGACCTTGCACCCAAAGTCAAAAATAAGGAATATTACGGTCTGATGAGAAAAAGCTTGAGTGGAACATACTGTGCATATCTGTGAAAGTGATCGAAAGTGTACCTCGTGTTTATCCAACCACCCAGCGGTAGCCTTCCACATGGGTGTCACTTGTGTAGATGCAAAATCAAGGTTATCTCAATGACAACCACCTCGACGTCCTGACTACAGTGGCTACGTTAGGCACAGCTTGTGTTCCATGATCACGTTAGACGGTGCCCACCTGTTCTTCGACTCGGATGCAATCTCGACCTTAATCTTCCCAGCCCGGAAAGTCACAGACCGATGATGCTGTGACTCCTCCAAACTGTCTGCCCATCCACCAAGGTCTGTTGTGTAACAGACCATGGTCTGCCTTCCCCGGAGGCACTGTCCGGGAATCTGTGAGATTTTGGAGGCGACTATATCCTGGTTTTCTTGGTCGACAACGGTGGACAAGGCAAAGCCGTGGTCCTGGCTGATAGTAGGTTCAAAAGAAGATGATGTGTGACGTGGGAGTTCGTATTCGATCTCCCTCTATTACGATTCCTTCTGGGAAAGGCCGGAAGGATCAACTTTGTACAACAGGCAGTATTGGCGGTGCGGGAATGAGTTCAAAAAGCAATATCATCTCCATCCGCCCATCTTTTGGAAAAATTGACAACATCGGGGGTCTCCTCAAGCATTGCGCCATTTACCCGTCCAATTTCTTGTAAACTTTCCAGCCTTCTCTCTGCAGTCGATACTCCTTCTCCATGTTCTCATCGTTCATCTTCTGTAGGTGGTCTGCAACCCACTTCCGTATTTTCTCATCGCTTGATCCCACAATCCTGGCTGCCAAAATCGCTGCATTGACTGAGTTCCCGATACCTACCGTAGCTACAGGAATACCCCGCGGCATTTGCACAATACTCAGCAGGCTGTCCAGTCCATCCAGAGAGCTGGCTTTCACGGGCACGCCAATGACTGGCACTGGCGTTTCCGAGGCCATCATACCCGGCAAGTGTGCTGCACCACCAGCCGCCGCTATTATAGCTTTCAACCCACGACTAGCTGCAGATTTGCCAAAGTCTAGCATGTACTGCGGCGTGCGATGAGCCGAGGTAATGTGCACCTCGTAAGGAATGTTCATGGTGTCAAGTAGCGTGAGGCCGGGGCGAAGCGTAGCCAGATCGGTGTCAGACCCCATTACCACGCCCACGACAGCCCGAGCAGACGGTGCGGGATTTGCACCGAGGAGCTCGGCCTGAGTCTTGAGAATCGAGGAAGCAGATGGCTCGCCAGACCGATCGTGGCGATGCACGCGTATGGCGTCGACCATCTGAATCAGAGGATGTATTTTGATCTCGCATTCCGATAAGCTTGATCCGGTGATTGTAATGTGTCCCATCTTCCGTCCTGGTCGACCCTGACCCTTCCCATAGAGATGAATTTTCGCCCCCGGCACGTCAAGTGCGGCTTTGGCGACCAGCGTATGGGAGTCAGGCTGTGGACCTCCGAGAATATTCAACATAATTGCCGCATTGACTGTTAGATCCGTCGCCCCAGCTGGGATCTTTGAGGCCAGATCAGGTAGAATGGCACGGATCTGTGCTTCGAATTGGGACATGTGACATGCCTCAATTGTATAATGCCCAGAGTTGTGAGGGCGGGGCGCGATTTCGTTAACGAGGAGGCTGTCGTCAGGAAGGAGGAACAATTCAACGCCGAAGACGCCAGTTCCCCGAAAGGTTGAAACAGCGCGTCGAGCCAGATCTTGGGCTGCCCGTGCGACTTCCTGCGAGACATCCCTGGGCGGAACATAGACAAGCTTGCAGATACTGTCTTCATGAACGGTTTCCACAGTAGGGTACGCCAAGGTATGCTGCTCCCACGCGTCTGGATCGTCTTCCTGGGCAGTTTTAACAACCATGACTGCGAGCTCCTGTTTGAAATGAGACCATTTCTCGGCATACAAAGGTCGTTCTGCGAGGGCTGCAATGGCAGGTCCTATGTCGGACATCGACTTGACCGGAAAGTTACCCCTCCCATCGTAGGCTTGGGTTCGAGATTTCAACATGAATGGATAATCAAGTATCTCGCCGGCATCTATCAGTCCTTGCTGTGACGGGCTGACCGCAATGGACTTGGAGATCGGGATTGAATATTTTGCAAAATGCTGCTTCTGAGTGAATTTGTCTTGTATTGTCCTGACCGTTCGCCAGCTGGGTTGAAATCGCGACCACTGGGTGCCCTCGATAAACGGTTTCTCCGCCTCCAGCTTTTCAAGAATCTCGGTATCGACATGTTCGATCTCGTAGGTCAGAACGTCACATCCAGAGGCGAGTGCCTTAACATCGGATGCATTGGCGAATGATCCAGTAACATGCATGTCATGGTTTGCCAGATATTTCGCAGGAGCGCTGTCGGCATCAAGGACTCCAACCTGGATGTTGAGGCGGTTCGCGGCCTCTACTAACATACGTCCTAGTTGGCCGCCACCAAGAACACCCACGATATGATCGTCCATGGTCGTGGTTTTGGCGGTGATTTAGAAGGGAATATAACCGTGCCAGTGACGCGGACAGTAAACGAAAATAACCCACTTGTGAACTTGCCGGGGACCCAGCAACTCTCCTGATGCCCCGTGAGGGATTTGACTTTGCAATAGCCTGAGTCGACTACGAGGCCTCGACACCGAAATATCTGGTCATTTTGTTGTGTGAAAACTCGGCCGTCAACTTGAATTTTTATGTCGCGGCAAAACCTCGGACAATTCCATTTGCGCCCTTGCGCCCTCAGCACTCCAGCTGCGGACAATCAGCCTGCGTACGACGGTGATGCTCCTTTACTCGATGCCATGCTCTTTTTTCATCCTCTCCAGATTTGCCTGCCTCATCACAATGTCCTCCTTGACCTCCATCTTCATTTTCTCCGGCTGATGGTATAGCACGACCAGATACCGGTTTCGAAAGTTGAACCCGTTCAGCTTATCGCACGCTTGTTTCGCGTCCAAGACGTCTTCATAGACCACAAAGGCTGTGCCTTTTGTAGTATTCGATGTACCTAAGCGAATCTGGCGTACGGGACCGAATTTCCCAAAGAGATCGAAGAGGGCAGGGGTGTCGATATCGTACGCAAGGTTTTTAACAAAGAGGATCCGATTTGCCTCGGGCGCGAGCTTGTTACTTCGCGACATTGCGGAGGAAAGGAGTGAGAAGACGGCGCGGCTTGGTGAAACGGAAGGAGTTGTCGACGGCGACCGTTGAAAGGGAAGCGGTGTGCCTCTTGCGTTGAAGGACGTTGAAAAGATGTACGAGGAGAATTTACGGCAGACTGGTAAGTGTCCGTACAAGGGCGTGTATCAAGGCTCGAAGGAATCCGGGCTCTCGTGCACCTGCCACACGAATGGGATAGGATCCGTCTGTGTTAAAAGCGCTCCTTTGGCACGGAAAATAGAGGGACCTCAAACACGAAGTGAAATGTGAGGTTAAGAGGCAGGCGGCGCAGGGAGAAAATGCGGTGCTGTAAAATTGTTCGGTAATCTCGGTACGTGTTGTATTGTCACAAGTCGACTCCCATCTGCGTCTGCGGTCAACCTCGATCCTGTTCCGAACAACAACCTCGACCGTGACAACTCTTGGTTTACCATCCGATATCCCTCACTCCCTTTCTCCCTGCGTGCGGCCTCCTGTCGGAGGTCAGATCAGCTTGTTCACAAATGTAGCCAATCCTCCTGCCATCCTCCCGCACACAGCTCAGTTGCCTCTCGACTCGCCAACCCCACCTCCGCAACCAGTTCGACTTCGACTGCGACTGCGACCTTAAACCTCGTCCTCGACGGTAATCATGCCTACCTCAACCGTCTGGCGCCGAAACCACCATCTGGCAGGGCACCGGGGTGCAAGCCCTGTCCGTCCATCCGCCGAAGTCATCGAGCGCCTTTCCCCTGATCCCGCAAGCGAAACCCCTACCCTCGAAGGCTCATCGCTCCCTCTGCGATATTCACCTCAACATGGTTACTCATTAAGAGGACTTGGACTGTCCGACATTGGATCGTCCGAGGATAATGACTCCGCGCTACAACCAGATCACCTATATTACGACCAGGACGGTGCCGCTCATATTGCGGCAAGGATAAAAGGTGGCGCGAGCACAGTTTATGGACGCTCTAGAGTTGGGTCACTGGACTGGGCGACGAGAAACTCCAATCCTACCTCCGGCTTCTTACAGGACAATCGGCGCCTTCATGGAAAGGGACATACGCGTTCCGGCTCTACAATCGATGACCTTGCGACTGCCGCAATTGCAACAAGCCCCGTTTTGGCTAGCGCAGCCACTCTTTCTCTTTCCAAGGAATACATCTACAATACCAACCGCACTTTGACTTCCTATACTCGGCGCTACAGTCATGAAGGTCCCTCAAATGGTCCGCCTGCGAAACGCATCAAGTCCGAACGATTGCCGACCCTCGAGTGGTCGCCGCGCGCAGAAAGACCAAAGACAAGCGGTGGATATAGCAGTATACCCGATGTTGACCACGAAGATGCACTTCTACTGCTTGAACTGAAGAATGAGGTCAATTTCAAAAATCATGCAAATACCCCCAAGCTTGACACGATGCCCGAGTATCCACCATCGACATCCCCAAGCTCTCCCCAGTCCCCTTTGAAGCTACAGAACCCGCAGCAACAGGAACGTCAGGTCGTGCATTTACGACAGAGCATTAAGAGCCGGCCCAGAGAACGATACCTGAACGAAGATCTGCCCAATGTGAGGGATGGTTCAACAGCAGGGGGTTCCGAGTCTATCCACAAGGAAACCGCGTATGAAGGAAATGCTCTAAATGCTCTGGATGCTCGAGCACGAGGGCTCAGAGGACCTCAACCCGCTGTTGATGCTCTGCCACCTGTATCTGAAGAACCACTGGATTCTGCAGTTGCTGAAGCAGAGCCGATACCCAAGAAGCAGCGTCGCATAAAGCCGGAGCAGCAAGCCGAGGTTTGCGCGGCATGTCAGCGTCTACAACTGGACTCCGTGGATGACGAAGACACGTCTACGTTCTGGATCAGTTGTGACGCTTGCAAACGTTGGTTCCATGCCGAATGCGCCGGTTTCAAGACAAAGGCAGATGCAAGAAGTGTGGACAAGTATGTTTGTAAAGACTGTGAACCTATACATGGGCAGACTACCTACGTCCGGAAGTCATCCCGTCCCAGGACTGCCATTGACTATGCTGGCCTCAATCAGGGTGTGGTGAAGTCGTCTGTCGAAACCTCGACCCACCACTACATCCAACCGATCAAAGAGGGCAAGATCAACGTTCTACCCGATGACTTTGCCCGAATCAGGCCAGAATTGCTTACAATGGAGTTCATGGAAAGCTTTGAGGGTCTCAAACGCCCCTTTGTGGTTCCAGCTGAATGGAATCCTCGGTTTGGTGTAAGACCCGTATCCGTCCAACGCGATTCAGCACTTCCTACCCAAGATGCTGCAGCTTTCACCCTCATCGACAGCTCCGGTGCTGAAGTGGGTCCCGACAAAACGTCCGCATCGGACCTCCAAGAAGAAGAGGTCATTGATTGCGACCAGGATTTGCTGGATATGGTGATCCCACGCGATTTGACAGTCCGAAAAGTGGCCGAGCTCTATGGTCCCGAAGAGCCCGTGCCTGTGATCGATGTAAAGTCTCAGGAGACCAAGGGATATTTCACACTCCAACAGTGGGCAGACTACTACGAATTGGAAGGGGAAAAGCCTATCCGGAATGTTATCAGTCTTGAAGTCTCACACAGTCCACTTGGGAGACTTATCCGGCGTCCCAAAGTAGTTCGAGATCTTGATCTGGACGACCAAGTTTGGGCGGCTGACGCTGATACCCGGTTGAAGAAAAGACCAGTATCGTTTTATTGCCTAATGTCTGTTGCTGACAGCTACACGGACTTCCATATCGATTTCGGAGGCTCTTCTGTGTACTACCATATCCTGCGAGGGACGAAGACGTTCTTCTTCATCCCTCCTGAAGACAGATACCTGAAGAAGTACGAAGAATGGTGCAACTCGGGCTCGCAAAATGAGACTTGGCTGGGAGACCTTTGCGGTGGCAACTGTACAAGAGTTGACCTCCACGAGGGAGACACAGCGTTTATCCCTGCGGGCTGGATCCATTCTGTTTGGACTCCGGAAGATAGCTTGGTAATTGGTGGCAACTATTTGACTCGTCTGGATTACGAGATGCAGCTCAAAGTTGTGAGCATCGAGAAGGCGACTAAAGTGGCTCCCAAATTCCGCTACCCTTATTTCCAGAAGGTCATGTGGTACGCATTGATCAAATACCTTGACGATGATCCTGTACCGGAAGAGGTGTTGGATGACTTCTACGACGACCCTGACTATGTCTTCCTCCGAGCGAATCCAATCTGGCATGAAGTCGGAGAGTTTGAGAATACAGCAGAGCCTGGTGATCCGGCTTACAATTCAAGATATTACCCGAAGTCTGAGGCGAATGGTTGGCCGGCATTAAGAGACTTCCTTTATCGGACAGCCCGGATAGACGCAGGTTTGCCAGTGCCAGATATCACCAAAAAACAGATCGACGCGGTCAAGGCATCCATACCTAAGGGGTATGGGGATCCGCTCATGATGATCAAAATATTCGCAATTTGGTGCGCATGGAAGATTGGCAACACCACCGCACCAGACTGGGTTCACTCGGATAGCATAGCAGAGCTAGAGGGAGGAGAGAAATCCAAAAAGGCCGAGCCATTCCGGGTGCCTGGGGAACGAATTTCGTCTCGGAGAGTTGCGCAGGCTCAAGCCCAGGCTCAGGCTCAGGCTCTGGCGGAGGCAGCACAAGCCCAACCTCGACCACTTGCTCAGACGCCTCCAGCCAAAAATGGATCCAGAGGAAACGGATTGAGAGTCGCCTGTGAACCTTGCCGGAAACGCCGCATAAAATGCCGACACAAGTCAGGTGGCGAAACACCTCGTCGAACGCCAGAGATTCGGCCAAGGAGTTTCTCGAGTGCTGATAATCATTCCGTAACGGGGGCGGTAGCGTTCACAAATGGTGCCATGGGAGACACTGTCTCTCCCGAAGCACGCATATCAGACGGTGTTGGTTCGGAAGTTACACAGCCTGATCCTCAGTCATCGTCGAAGAAAAGCCGGAGCAAAGCCTGTGAGGACTGCAGGAAGAGCAAGGTAAGCGATCCCGATATGGAAACTTGTCTTTTACTCACAAAGTCCAGCGTCGTTGTGTACACGATCAGTATGGCCGCATCGATCCAGCGAAAGTTGCAGAGCCCTCCAAACCTCGTGGATCGGCGAGTGCGAAACGTGCCACCACTGCCAGCGAGGAGTCGAAGCAAATAGAGCCAGAAATTGACAATTTTGAGGATTTAATTGATCCCGCCCTCACCAATGGCGACGCCTCGGACTTAGCCAACGAGGTTGATGAAGAAACTTTTCATACACCCGGACCGGTGAACAACAGGAACCCTGCTGGCGATGGCGAACGTGTCGGGGAGGACGTATCTGCCGCGAACGAGGACGACTCGATATTAATTCCGATCGACCCCGCCTTAGGGACTACGGAGGAAGAAGCGGTACCCATTAAAAGTGAGCATGATCAAGTTGCAGGATCAGTGGATCCAAGCGCCTTGCAACATGACAACAATATTTCCACCCCGAATGCAGGGCAAAACGGCACAGCCGCGAGCGGCGAGCTTTCCGGTCCTTTTACTTGGACGCTTGGATCAAGACAGTCGTCTCGGCAACCCAAACAAGTAGAAAGATACACTCCCGAAGACAAGAAATCTCCCAGCAAGCCATATCCCAAGCCTCAAAGGCACGATCGACGAGCATCGAGCGCTGCGAGCGTGCATACGGTGGTGACGAGTATCAAGACCGAACGCTCATCGAGCAACACTTCGGGGACCACGCACCAAATGGCAGGCATCATGACCAGCAAACGCAGTCCATCCCTGGATGCCCCTGCTCGACCTGTTAGTAGAGGGAGTACGGGCGGAGAGAGTGACGTGAATGCAGACGAGAGGTTCGCTAGAGAACTTCAAGCGGCGGAAAATGGGTTAAGACGTCGGACGAGTATGAGGGCTTAGAGAGGCCTCGGCTGAACACCTGGCAGCCACCTGGGGGCCGCGGCTGATGATGACATGACGAAGGATGACGGCGTTAAGAAGTAACAGAACTTGGGATCCAATGCGATTGGGTGGCGAAAAGCCATTGTGCGCACGCATTGAGAACAAAGGCGCAATATTTTGGTGGCTTGGGGAATTGTCGGGTGTGATATTCGTTCAATAAGATACCCTCAGGAAGCGAAGGATACCTGAGGGCATTCTCGTGAGCTTCCAATGTACAAATTTGCCAAAGTTACTTCGACCTTCTCTTCGTGCATCAGTACTAGGACAAGGAGTATCAGACGGTGCAGCCTCGCACGTGATAAGGAGGTGATCCTAGGCCGAGAAGGACTGACAAGGCCGAGCAGCAAGTGTGGGGTAAAGAGCCAACATAACATCATTGCTCAATCGAATCGCTCACCGAGGGACGATCGTAACATTCCATCTTCCATCTTCCAAATTCCTAGTGTTTCTCTCCTTCTTCGTCACCACTCGTCAACTTGATACCTCTCTTCAGCACTATGCTACAAATGAGTTTGATGTCGTGACCATGGCGAACTTTGTGTACAACAGTCAACTCGTATGTTTGCTGCTCTATCCTTCTCTCCTCGGTTGGCCCGACTTGATTTTCTCGCACCTCCTCTCACTCAATATATGCGAAGCAAAGGCTAACCTCCGTGTGATTCTTGCTGCAGGATGCCTTTGAACTCTTCCATCTGGTCCAAGAAGCAGATGCGACACGCTCGTCAATGCGACCGCCGCGATCTCATGCTCTGGAAGCCCTGGGCCACGCCCTGTCGGGCTCCTTTGGCGCCTCAATCTCAAATGCGGCGCTCTATCCAATTGACCTCATAATAACACGCCTCCAGATCCAGCGCCAACTCCGCAAAGACCAGTCACGTCCTGGCGAGGAAGAGTATAAAGGATTCTTTGATGGCCTACAGAAGATCTACCACAACGAGGGTGGAGTCGCAGGATTATATACGGGCCTGCTACAAGACACGGGCAAGACGATTGCGGATTCTTTTCTGTTCTTTTTGATATATTCCTTTTTAAGGGATCGCCGGATCGCCAAGCATACCAGGTTGAATGGCGGCAAGAAAGTCAGTCTGCCTGCGCTGGAAGAGTTGGGTGTTGGATTCGTTGCTGGGAGTTTAACGAAGTTGGCAACAGCCCCGATTGCCAACATAGTCACAAGGAAACAGGCCGCCGCTCTGCTGAGAGCTTCGGAGGAAGGACAGCAGGAGTCAGCTGGGACGACGCCGACGACGACTCCCACCACCCGACAAATTGCCCAGGACATCCTGTCGGAGAAAGGTCCTTTGGGATTTTGGTCCGGTTATTCGGCGAGTCTGGTTCTCACGCTCAATCCGACAATAACGTTCTTTCTATTTGAAACGCTCAAAAAGCTTCTCCTCCGCAGAGAATCCAGGCAACACCCACCACCTAGCCTCACGTTCCTCTTATCTGCGATCAGCAAAGCTTGTGCGTCTTCAATCACATACCCATTCAGCCTTGCAAAGTCACGCCTCCAGGCCGGTGGCGCCTCCTCGCATAAGGAGGATCAGGACGAAAACGAAGTTATCAGCGAAGACTTCAAACATGAAAGAACTAGGAAAGCCGCACGAGCTACAATCTTCAGTACTGTCCTCACAATCGCGCAGACTGAAGGTGTCGCCGCCCTATACGAGGGGTTACATGTCGAAGTGTTGAGGGCATTCTTCTCCCACGGAATCACCATGCTGGTGAAGCAAATATTTCAACGTTTCCTCGTCAGAGCTTACTACCTTGTGTCGGTTATTCTTGGACGCTACAAGAAGCGCCGTGACGCAAGCGCGAAACGCCTGGCAGAGAAAGCCAAAGTCAGTGTCGAGTACTACAATCTGGCAATGGCCCGGGCGTCCGAAAAGATCGAGGAGGCGGCTGAGAAAGTCAAGGAAAGTGTTGGGAAGAAAGCGAATGAGACAGCAGAATTTGTGGGAGAGTATGTGGAGGAAGATGACGAGTTGGGAGAGAAGTGGAAGGAGCTGTATGGGACGGTGGGGTTGTCCAGGTGGTTCGACAAGGTGAGTGATGAGAGATGAGATGTCTACTCGTGTAGACCAATGTGGGAAGGCTTCTTGGTTCAAGGAATACGTATAGGAAGGGATCTTCAGAGGACCATGTAAAGGCAGAAAATTGGCGGATGGAGGACGGCGTACATTGAGCGGTAGGAGTGCAACATAACAATATCCACAGGTTTGACCGATGGTGTACCAAGACTGAAAACATTGCTTTTCTTGTCTATCTATACTTGACTTTTTGGCCTCCTCTTTTCTCCATCTTTGTCTGTCTCTTACTTTGTGCCACGTCGTCGCCGTCTGCACCGCCTCCAGCCAGTCCTCCCATCATTCCCTTGACGCCCTTCGCAGCCCCGACAATGCAATATACAGCATATGCAGGAACGACCAAATAGAGCCACCATGCACGATTCCCAAAGATCACGACTGTGATGAGATTGATCCAGGTCCAGTACAGAATGTCCCACATGAACTCCGTCAGGCCTTTTGCGTCTAGATCCTCCCCAGCCTTCTTCAAGTCGCCATTAGGATGATATGTCGGACGGGCAAGGACGTCTAGATATACTTCGAGAAATATGGCAGGAGCGCTGAGCAAGAGATAGGGCCACAGGGACAGAGAGCGGCGGAGGGTGAACTTGAGAAAGAGAAACACAATGTGGATTGAGAGGGTTATAAGGTGTGTTTGCCGGAGACGGCCTGTGTTGCGTGTGGCGAGCGATTTGGCAGCTTTCTTTTTTGGAAGTCCTAGTCAGCGACACGAATACAGTGACAGGGACGGGGATTGTCACTCACCTGAGCCATGACTGCGAAGTAAGTGATCAGTTAGGTGGTAGGTGGTGGGGAGAGAATTTGCGCGCCTGCAGAGATGTGCTCGACATGAACCGAAAGGAGTTGAACTGGTGCAGAATATAGATCCCCTACTAGCCTGCAGTAGGTGTTTGTGCCGTAGCAGACTCCAAGAAAGAAACAAAAACAGGACAATCACAACAATCACCTTGTAATCCTCTATTATTGATTGACAATTTGAAGCAGTTGTGAACATTCCCCGCGGTACGGCGGCTACGGTAGACGTGGAGCAGGTTCCAGCCACAGTTTTGCCGGGCCACCCAGGGCACTGCAGGGCTGTCTGGCTGGTCCTCGAGAGCATTCACTAGTAATTATTAAGGCACCGCAGTGTCGGCGCTGCAAACAGAACAACAACACCAGCCCAAACTCACAAGTAACCTGCCGCATTCTATTCTATTGATACTCATCCACAACACCATCTTCACTTCTCCTTCCTTATACATTCTTCTGTCGGCTTTGCGTTCCTTTACTGACCAGACGACGCCTTCCATGCATTAATCCATCTCATCCTGCACCTTGACGGCGGTGGCGCAGTTGTTTTGGACAGAGCAGCCTCTGGGAGGGTGGAACTCATGACCTCTCGATCGCGTCTCCTTCCTACTCCGTGGACCTGAGCACTCTCGCGACATATCTTTCAGCTTCTTTCTCTCGCTCGACTGGCTCGTCGCCTGATCTTGTCATGGCGCCTACACAACCACACATTGCCGCCGCCCAGCTCCGCCAACTGATCTATTACCACCTCGACAACAACCTGCTCAGAAACGCCCTCTTTCTTGCTTCTCGTCTCGTTGCCTATGAACCTCGCTCCCCCGAAGCTGCTTACTTGCTTGCATACTGTCAATTCCAATCGGGCTTTTTGAAGGCTGCGTGGGATACTTCACGCGCCGCAGCTGTTAAAGGTATCCACCTAGGATGTGGCTACATTTTCGCCCAGTGTTCTCTAGAGCTCGGTCGGATCGTGGAAGGTCTCAATGCGTTGGAGAAGTGCAAACACCATTGGCAAAACAGAAACACGTGGGGCCAACACAATGAGTCAAGACGCCAACATCTTCCTGACGCTGCTGCCGTGCTATGTCTCAAAGGGAAGCTCTGGAAGGCGCACAAAAACGTGGATATGGCTGTGGAGTGCTGGGCGGCGTCCCTGAAACTGAACCCATTCATGTGGGATGCATTTATGGGATTATGTGATGCTGGAGCGAAGATCAGTGTACCCAACATCTATAAGCTGAACAATGAGATGGTAGCAGCGACACATTCAGCCCAGCAGCAGAGCGCAAGAGTTGAAAATGCGCCGGCGGAGAGGGTACCGGGCATGATTTCGCAAGCACCATCAGATCCATTCGTTTCGACGACGCAAAAGTCAAGCACGCAGCAGCACCCGGCAAACTCAGTGCTATGGGAAAAGCTTAATGGCAGCAAGATGAGCGTCAACACGGTCAGCACAATTTTGGACGAGGAGGGTCTTGCCACTCCGTCAACAGACGCAGACGGGGACGAGGGTGTCGTTCAGGGGGCCCAAGCTAACAACCATTATCACGAAGCTCCACCAGCACCCATCAGAAAAGCTAAGACCTTGACCGAAACATCCGCAGACCCTCCCCCTAGGTGGAAATCAGGATCTACTAGGATGAGGGCAAAGGCAAAGGGTGCATCGGATGATTCAACCACTGTCTTGCAAGATCCTCCGCAGCCACTGCTAGCAGCACCTTCTAAGAGAACAGTTTCAGGTCAGCCTGCACCAACATCATCTCATGCTGCTCCTTCAAGTATCACCGAGGGAACGAGAAGAAGTAACCGGCTATTGAACACAACGAGACCACCTAGCGCGACTAGTACAACTGGGAGCAAGATTTCGTCCCTGGCAAACACGCTCGGCCTCCGAGAAGGACGAGATATCAAGAAAGCCAAAGCCCCAGCTGCGAAGGGCAGAACTGCCAATGCGTCAACGGTAGGGAGAGTCGTGAGCGGAAATAGAACCAGGACCGGGTCGGCAGACCAAATGGACGTGGACTCGAAAGAACAGAAAAACACTCATGCAAACGCACCTCCGGTACCACCTCTGCCAAACCACAAAACACGAGCACCATCCACTGCGGACCGAGAATTAGAAGCTCTCCAAACTCTTCTGGATCTATGTGGGAGGATCGCTTCGGCGCAACTCTGCCTGGCTAACTATGACTGCCAAACCGCCATCCAGATGTACAATGCTCTTCCTTCGTCACAACGCGAGACACCTTTTATCCTGAGCCAAATCGCAAAGGCCTATTACGAACAAGCGTCGTACGCCGAGGCTGAGAAATTCTTCATCCGCGTCCGACAACTTGCGCCTACTCGGCTCGAAGACATGGAAGTCTACTCGACAGTCCTCTGGCACTTGAAATCAGATATTGAACTTGCCTACCTGGCACACGAGCTTATCGAGATTGATCGGTTATCGCCTCAAGCGTGGTGCGCCATCGGGAATTCCTTCTCTCTCCAGCGGGAACACGAACAAGCATTGAAATGCTTCAAGCGCTCCACTCAACTGGACCCGCAGTTCGCGTACGGATTCACGCTCCAAGGGCATGAATACATTGCCAATGAGGAATTTGAAAAAGCCCTTGAAGCCTATCGAGCCGCGATTGCTGCAGATGGGAGACATTACAATGCATGGTACGGGCTAGGGAAAGTGTACGAGAAAATGGGCAAGTGGAATATTGCAGAGCAGCATTATCGGACGGCAGCGAAGATCAATCCTACCAACGCGGTGTTGATTTGTTGCATTGGCCTGGTCTTGGAAAAACAGAAACATCCAGATGATGCGCTACTCATGTACAGTCGCGCATGTAGCCTCGCTCCTCAATCGGCCCTAAGTCGATTCAAGAAAGCACGATGTTTGATGAGCTTAGGGCGTCCGCGGGAAGCGCTTGCCGAATTGATGATATTAAGGGATGTAGTCCCGGACGAGGCGAATGTGTGGTTTTTGATGGGACGCCTTTACAAGACCTTGAGAGACAAAGGAAATGCTGTGCGGGCCTTCACCATGGCATTGAACTTGGATCCAAAGGTATGCTTTACAAGATTTGCATGATGCGAAGGTGACTAACTTGGAATTAGGCTGCGCAATACATCAAAGACGCCATGGAGAGTTTGGACGATGACGACGAGGATTATGACGAGGATGAAGATATGGAATGATGATGATCTTGATGCTTCCTTCTCGTCCCCAACGTGGTCTGCCTACCTCCTTAAATGGACCCGAGGGGAGGTATCATCTGGCTGATGAGACCTGCCGTCGTCAGATTCGGTAATGTGTTATGGGTTACTACCAAACGTCCAGAAATTCCGTCCTTATTGCCACGGTGAGCGCTTGGTACTTATTGAGTTTAGCATTTTAATGTTTACTGGACAGTTCATGGGTTGGTTCATTCGATGAATCCGAACCGTGGAGTTTTGAGGATGCCGCGACACATGTGGTTACGGAAGAAACGAAGAAGAGAAGAAAAGAATGGGAAGGGATATGTCCGTTTGGCAGCAGAAGCACCTGACGCGCTGCTGGAAGAGACGCTTTGGAGTCAGGCTCTGAGGTTCTGGTTTCGGATTGTTTGACTCACAGCAAAACAATCCTCTCGACGCCCTTTTCTGGTCTTTTCTGTGTTGGAACGGGAGACGCCTAATCACTTGGGAATGTGATTGTGCTTTCTGCACAGGCACCTGCACAGGCACAGGCACTGGTGGCGGGTTTACGGGTCTGTGTTGAAAACAACGTCTAAGGATGTTTTATGGAAGCGGAGTTGTGGATTTGCGAGCATGACTTTTTACCCGGCAGGACTGGAAGCCCCAGCAGCGTCTTTGTACTTTTTTTTTGCATTTTACCGGGGGTGGGCAATGAATGTGAGGATGGGAGGAGCAAGGCATAGCATAGCATAGCATGCATGGTATGGAATTGGCATTGGCATTGGCATTGGCATTGGCATGGGACATGCATGGGTATGGTTAGTGCTCGTGGTATGGCAATAGCATTCATTATGCATGCATTGGTTAGCCATAGCGACAACATGCACATAAGCACAACCCTAAAAGGGCATACATACACAGTTTACACTTTGCAGTCTACAGTTTGTGTCTGTATCTGTGTCTGTAGTCTACGAGGTCGAGCTTTACAAAGGTCCCCTGAACAGAACCGACAAGACGGAACGAACGCTCGCGTACCTTATCTATATATCCTATCTTACATCATATCTATCTGTCGATCTATCTCTCTATCTTATCCATACCTCTCTGCCCTATGTATGTGTGTGTACACTTTCTTGCAGTGAATAGACGTCTAATCAATCGGATACTCCGGGGGTCGGTTTCTATTCCAATCAACAGGTGGTAGGTAGGTAGGTAGGTAGTATTATGTTTGGTATAGCGAAAAGAAAAAAACAAAAACAAAAAAAAACAAAAAAAACCACCAAAAAACATATCGAGTACATGTGTACTGTACTGTACGAGGTATACTGTGAGTAGACAGACGGTAACAACAGCATAGATACAAACATCCATACATCCATATAGACATACAGACATACAAACATAGCATAGAGACAGACAAACAGACAGACAGAAAGGTGGTATCATTGGCACGGATAGAAAACGCCGATAACAACCCATCCACACGGATTCCAATACTAGCAAAGACTTGATTGACACAGGCAGACAAGACAGGCCACGAAGAGAGAGAGAGAGATAGAGATTACCACCGTCGATATACAGTCACACTTTCTCCGACTCCCCCCGGTAGCCCCGACAACTGCTCCAACTCCAGCTTCCTTCGAGCTTGTTGACCTCGAACTTCGGACTCGTCAACTGTGCAAATACTTTTGGTTCAGGTCGAGGGAGGCGACTTGGTCTCGTTCTTCACATCGATTCATCATGTCGTATTCGTCCATTCTTCTCCTCCAGCGCTTGTCACACACTCCCCCAGACTTGCCCCAGTCTCTTTCTAGATTCTTCCACCTAGTCGCCTGCTCATTCACAACTCGTCCTTCACATACTTGGTCGCGCTGCTCGCCGACTCACTCACCACGCTGGCTATGCTTTCCACGCTTTCGCTCACTGCACTCGCTGCGTCCGTCGCGCTCTCAGCCGCTTCTCTTGCTAGAGCAGCAATCCTGCTATTCGCACTCTCGACGGCTTCAAAGATCTGTGAGTTGATACTTTCCATATAACTCTGCTCAGGACCATAAATAGCCTGCGAGACCTTGGCAGTGAGACTCTCGACATTATCGCTGACTGCGGAAACCGCTGCTGCCGCATTCTCCGACACTATGGACGACGCAGATGCGTATGTATCGGCCGCCGCACTGGTCAATGATTCAACTGTCCCTGTAGGCGTCCCATAAATAGCAATGCTCACGGCATCCTGCGCACTCTTTGCCAATTCCGCAAACGAGGAAGACGCAGCCTCTGCATAACCAACGGGAGTACCATAGATGGCTTCACTGACTGCCACGCTGGCTGACGAGTAACTATCAGCCACAACCGAGGTTGCTTGTTCGAGTCTTCCTTTTGGTGTGCCATACACCTGTGCACTTGCTGCATCGACTGCGGCGTTCAGTTGTTCTGTTACTGAATCCAAAATAGACGAGACTTCTGGAGGAGGGGTGAAGTAGGAAGAGGCGACGGAGGAAACAGAGGATGCCATGGATGAGACTGAGCTGTACGCCTCGCCTGCCAAACTAGACGCCGAACTGTACCCTGTGTAGTAGGCGGAGCTGAGGCGACTCATGACCGACTCAGTGAAATCAGGTTCTTTGCCCACTATCAACTCCGAGACGTACGATTGGATGACGACGTACTGATCGTTCGCAAAGTCCGTGACCTGGGCAGAATATTCTCCAGCTTGGGTTGCGAAATTTTCATAGAAGGGCTTGGGAGTTCCGTAAATCTGTTCGCTCGCCTTCGCGACCAGGGCTTGCCAGTTTTCAGATGCCACGCTGGAAATCGATTCAACGGAGCCAGTTGGAGCACCGTATACGGCTGTGCTGGCCGCGTAGCTTGCTGCAGAGAGAGATGAAGAAGCGGCAGCGATCGCAGCATCATACTGTGAAGAGATAGAATCGAGTACACTCTGTGCTGGGGCCGTCTCCTTTTTGCCCATTGCCGATGATGCCGAGTCCAACAATGCGGACATCTGAGAAGCAGCCGCCGAGGAAGCCACTGCATATTGTGACGATGCCGCATGCAAAGCACTCTGATAGTAAGGGACAGGAGTGCCGTAAATGGCTGTGCTCGCCGCATAGCTTGCTGCGGAGAGAGAGGACGAGGCGGCAGAAATGGCGGCGTCATATTGTGACGAAATAGAGTCAAGGACGCTCTGTGCCGGAGAAGTCTCCTCTTCACCAAGGACAGAGGAGGCTGATTCGAGCATTTGTGACAATTGGGAAGAGGCGGCGGCGGTAGCAACGACATACTGCGACGATGCGGTCTCCAAAGCAGCCTGGTAGAACGGGGCAGGAGTGCCATAAACGGCAGTGCTGGCAGCATATGAAGCAGATGACAGCGAGGACGAGGCGGCACCAACGGCACTTGAGTAAGCTGCTACGGCTTCATCCCATAGGCTCTGTACCGTTGTGCCCGAGGATGATTTGAATGCGTCCAGACTCGAAGCAGCTGCTGAAGAGGCTTCCGAGTATTGGGATGCGGCTGCGTCAAGGAGGCTCTGGTACGCAGGCACCGGTGTCCCATAGATCCCAACAGATACCACGCTGGACACGCTGCTCAGTACAGGTGTTGGTGTCCCGTAGATCGCACTCGAAGCTGCCGCAATAAAGTCATCATACTGCTCGTGCGCTAGCCCAACGGCAGCATAGTAGTTCTTTCTCGCCTCTTGGAGATATCTCGCATGGGCAGGGGTAGGCGTAGCTCCGACAGCAACCTTAGCCTTCGAGTATTGAGCCGAAGCTGCAGCCAAAGAGTCTTGCAAAATTGACGATGCCATAGACGAGACAGACTCAAGAGGGTTGGTCTCCGGAAGTGCACTGGATGCTGACTTGCGGGCTGATTCAAGTCTACCGCTTGCAGCAGCCACGGCACCCGAATAAGCTGACTCGATTGAGGAAAACATTTGCTCATGAACAGGTTTCGGGGTTCCAGAGATCTGCTGAGAAGCGATCGATTTTGCGGCGTTGTAGTTATCCTCGGCTCTGCTGACGGCCTCGTTGTAGAGGGAGCTGGCTTGCAGAAACAACGACTCGGTGACAGGGGTTGGCGTTCCGAAGATGATTGAACTCGCTGCCGCCACGGCTTGCTCATATTGTTCAGATGCGGCGCTTGCAAGGCTTTCAGCTGTGCCAGTAGGCGTGCCGTACAAGGCGTTGGAGGCCGCTGCTAGAGCGCTGGAATACTGCTCACTCGCGACAGATGTGATACTCTCCACCTTGCCTTGAGATGTTCCGAACATGGCTTCAGATACTGCGCGGCTAACCTCTGCATAGCGATCACCGGCGTCATTGATCACGCTTTGAATGTTCTCGGAGAAAGTCGACTCCTCGCTATTGTCAAAAACGTCATCCAGAATAGGTATCGAGCCCTTCACCTCTGAAGCCATTGCACCTCCAAAGACTTTCGATACTCTGGTGGTTGCTGAATCTATAGCCGCGCTTACTGAAGGGAGTTCATTTGTTGATGATGAAGCAATGGACTCGAATGACGATGTCCCAGAACTTGCCGACTCTATCACATCTTCCGTGAAGTCCGAAACAGTCTCCTCTGCCTCAGAGAGCAGGGATTCAACCGTCACAGGAGTGCCTTCAACAACAGTTCCGGTTGCAGATTCGTACGCCTCTCCGGCAGCGGCACTGACATCAGACACGAGTGATTCAACAGGCTCCGCAATAGAAGATTCCAGCATGGAAGAGACTGACGAAATAGCATCGCCCGCAAACTCGCTGGCTGTCGACGTCGCGGACTCGACGGTGCCAGTACTGGTTCCTAGGGCCGCAGAGGATGCAGATGAGACTGCTACGGTAGCAGCGTCACTTCCCTGTGATAAAACAGAGCTGGCCGCCTCCACAGCTTCCGAGGGTGCGCCTCGAAGCTCCGAGACCAAACTGGACGCAGCTGAAACCGCCTCTGCCGGCATCGTTCGAGTTTCAAAATCGTCCGAGGAATCGCGGGCTTTCAGTTTCCATTGAGCAACACTTTTGAGTCTGACCAGTTCTTTCGCAGCGTCTTCGGTCATTGCCATGCATTCTTCCAGGATTTGTCGAGCCGTCTCAATTGCTGCTTCCGCTTCTGGACTCTTCATGGCCACGTCTTGGACCTCAATTTTCCATTCGTCGAGCGTCTTTCGGAGCTCGTGAAATTTCTGCCAATGTTTGTAGGTAACTCCTTCCATCCATGACCAGCGCATTCCAACCTCTTGGAGCCCGATGTCTTTGATACCATCTAAGACTTCCAATGTAGAGGCGGAGGCAGCCTCGAGTCTTTGGATCAAGCCTTGTTCAAAGCCCTGAGACCAGTTTCGGACATTTTGGGCGCGTCCCTTGATTTCAGCGCCCGAAGATCTGATTGATCCGAGAATGTCTTCTGCTGCCTTCTTCACAGCCTCCGCACTCGCATCGTCAGGGAGTGACGCAACGGTTGACTTGATCTTCGCTTTGACATTCTCCAACTCGTTTTCTACGGTCTTCTGCAAAGCGTTCGCCAATCCTCGACCAACTCCGTCAATGTCACTCTTGACAAGACTGTCGACGATGGACTCAACCCGTTCTCGTAGATCATCGCTGCCCTTGTCAGCCGCAACAGCAAATTTCTTTTGCCATGTTCGAAGGTCTTCAGCAATTTGCTCCTCTGTAGCAATAGGATATTCAACTGGCCGCTTCACACGTTCAACAGGAGTCGGCTCGGCTTCTTGAGATGTAGTCGTAGTAGAGGATTCTGTTTCGTCTTCGGAATCAAACAGAGCATACACATCATCCATTGTGTCCGTAGTCGCGCTTGGAGTGGCGGAGGCGACGTAGGTTGACTGGGTGTTATCTACCTCGTCCATGGCGGCTTTCAACTGGCGACTCTCCCGATACTTGGCAATCCTCTCATTGATCATGACCAGCTGAGGCCGAACATTATCGATGTAAAGACCTTTTACAAAGGGCCAGAACGTGCCGTCCATGAAAATGACGAGATCCGACCATGCATGTCGCAGCAGAGGATATGCAGTGTTCAATGCGAAATCTTGACTGAGACTGTATGCTTTATTTAGATGTGGCAGGGAGTATTCCACTGCCGGAAGAAGATGCTGTTGGTAGACTCGATAGACTTGATCTCGTGCTGGGGCGTAGTAGGGCGCAGTCTGTGCGATGACTTGGTCGACATGGGGTCCTATATTCTTCTCGTAGAACCTGGCAGCATTTCCCCGTGCCAGGTTAATTTGAGGCATGACGGCCTTTTCCCATTGCGCTTGAGAGTATGCCTTTGCGGCGTCGATCCGCGGAGCAGCATATTTCTCATAATTGACGACAGCGATTTTGGTCGCAGGTCGCACCACTCGGCTTTTCACTAGGTGTGCATATGGCTCAGCTTTAGCAACGTAAGGAGCTGCATATTCATCGTAATATGGTTGCAGATGAGGTTGGATGTATTCCTTTGCTGAAAGGTACGTTTCACATATTCGTGGAGAGGTATCGGTGAGGGTAGTCCGCGAAGAGGGACAGCTGAAGAGGATAGTGAGGAGGCAGTACCATATGGCAAGCCTACGGAGCAGTCAGAAGTCATCCTTTGACAAATGGATTGATTGTTAGACATACCTTGCCGAGGTGTTGAATAACCAAGAGGTCCAGCTCCGGCGAGAGCGTTGGCGACCAGGTTGTCGTGCAGGCGGTCCTACAGCGTGCCCATTGGGTCTGTCTTTGACACTCTCTATAGGTCTTCCATTCTCAACAACTGCCATCGCAGCTGATACGACTTTGAGGGTTGGTCCTCACTCCCACCCAGTGTGCTGATTGGACTGCCAACCTTTTGGAGAAGGAAGGTACTTCGGCCAGTGCTGGATGAGCAAATAGCAGCACCCCAAATGCCACCGATAGACCTGCACGACGTACTAGGAAGAAGGGACGTAGACAGGAATTATGGAAAGAGATGAAGATTTCAGAGCGAATCTCTGTGGTGTGAGAATGATGGCCGAGGAAGAGTGGTGAACGGGATGACCAGGTAAATGGTAGCTCAATTGCCGTCTTTCGAAAATTATGGAGGATGTCTGGGGGTGAGGAGACTTTGTGAAGCCTGCAAGCGAGTTAGACTTGCAGGGGGCAGTTCAAGCGTCAAGCTTGCGAGGCACAACTTGCAGCCAACTGCGTCACCCAGCACCAAAGTTGCATAAAACCTGCGACGCGGAGGGTAGCAACCAGTCACCACCAGGTAAGAGGCGAAGCACGGATGGCCAACCCCCAAGAACAAAGGGACCAGGGAGAAGGTGTTTGTGATAACCAGGAGATTAAGCTGTCAGATCGACAGTTGTATCTTCGATGAGAATGGATTCTTGGTGAAGGTCTGTCCCAGATCGGAGACGACAATGATGTCAACTGTGCACATGCTCCGCGGGCTCAATTCGATGACAACCAACGGAACGGGCGACGGTGGCTCTCAGTGGTGGATGGATGGTGCATGTCATACCGAGTCCAGGTGTGGGATGGACGGGGTGGCAAGGTGGATTGTGGGATATGTGGCTTTGCGGCTTTTGCTTGGCTGCGTGCCTGCGCTGGACAGCCACAGACGTGGTAACCCACCGTAGTTGTATAATGTCGCCTGTAAAATGCACCGTACCAATGCTTCCACGTGACCTTCACGCACGTATCTCATGGTCCCTTCCACCATGCCTCAAGAATACCGAAAGACACCATTCTCTTTGACCAAGGGTCGTGTTTGTATTTATATGCCTGAATCTTCTATCTCTAGAGCAAATCATGACTCATGTTCATACCTTCGCCACGCCCTGCTTGAACAGACACAGCGCTCTCATACTCACAAAGCTATCTCCTTGCCTTTCCCGTTTGACAAAGCCTCACTCCTCCACCTTGGCTTTGGTTCATGAAAATTATGTAACCTCTCACCGATCAAGTACACTTCGTCCCTGATCTTGATCCTCCAGCTCTCCAGTTTTCTCCTTATGTATAGCAATCCTACATAATTGACCATCAAGCACAAGAAAAGCGGATACGCAAAACGGTACATCCGAATTTGCCTTCCTCGATCGGAAATGTGGAAGATGCCGATGATGGCCCTCATGCAAGTAAGAGGTGCAATAAGGAGTGTGATACAGATGATCGTAGCCGGGAGAACGAAGGCGCGGGACGCGAGAGGGATGTCGGCGTGGAAAATGCCGTTGCGAATGATCCCGCGAAGAGCTCTGGCCGGCCGCACAGTAGGTGGGAGGACGTGAGCCAGGATGCGGGAGATCAGGCGTAGGAAAACGAGGCCGATAGTCCATGATTGGAGGATGAATATCGTGGCTGGCGGGAAAGGCTTGGTGGTTGCTGGTCCAGCCGAAACCGTCGGGGCCGAAGACGAGGGCGGTGAAGAGTCGCGGTTGAGCTTTTGATGACTGAGGACTTCGAGCAGGTCAAAGATCGGAATGTGAATGTACAGCTCTACCACCAGAGAGACGACGAACGGAAGAATGAGGGTGGTGAATATCCCAAGGTATGTCAGGCCAAGGACATGCAGCACCGAAGCGAGAAACTGCTTTCCGGACCATTTGAATTTCTTTTGCAGATAAGTTCGAGCCGGTCCGGCGTAGGCGATTGCATACCCGACCGCTGCAAAAATGTGAATACCAATGGTGAAAGCATATAGATCATTTGGTGGTTGAGTAGATTGCGAGAGGACTCGAGTCAGTTTGCGACCGACAATGAGAGGTCCCACAGTGAACGCGGAGCCAGTCAAGGCGGCGAAGAACCACAACAGGATCACAAACGATGTAATTCGAGCTTGGAAGTTCGGAGGAAGATAGACCTTGGTGAATTGAGGGTTTTTCTTGCCATGAGGGGCGAAGAATAACTCTGGCGCACCATCCACCCTCTCATTGTCTTCTGTCACTTCAAGAAAGACTTGTCGGCCCTTGGCGATGCGCACAGAGTCGGATGCAGGTGCTCGAACATAGCGTCCGTCACGTTTCGGTTCTGCCGCCGCATCTTTGGTGAATAGGTTCCACGGAAAACGGTTGGAGTGGCTGAAGGTTTCTTCTTTGCGTTCCTCCCCGAAAAGAAAGTTGGTCAATCTCAACCACCTGGCACATCCCCGAAACCACCACTGATACATTGCGGAGATCTTTTTCGATGGCTCGGCCCGGCGCAAAACAAATGGAAGTAGAAAATTGTAAAAGATGATGTCGACCGGGAACGACAGCCTGGGTTCCGGAGTCGACCATTGAATCGGGAGAACGACGCCAAACCAATCTATCGACCATACCACGCCCCCAAGACAGACAATAACCAGGCCACCATATACCAACGCCGAGAATGCAATTTTGCCCAGTTGTGCTGGGACTGGTCGCTCTAGAACATCGCGCACCGGGTGAAACGTCGGATCGTCAGGATCTCGAATAAAATACAGGACTCCTTTTCGCATAATTTTCCGGCATATTGATACAAAGAGGGCGAAATGAAACATGTAACAGGTTCCGATGAACCAGTGAATGAATATTCCGGTCAAAGGGGTGCGCATCAGGAAGGCGATGCGACTAGCAACAGTGGCGTCGGCAAACAGGGGAAGAAGCGCCAGATCCAGGAGCAGTCCACAGTACAAAGGAAAGACCAGCATTTCGATACCGATGATGACAATGACTTTCATCACTCCACCTGCTTGTCGTAGCGAGTCCGCAAAATAGCCCTCGACCCTTTCGCCTTCTTTCAAGCCAAGGATGAGATGAGCAATCTCGAGGAAGACGATTCCAGCAATGGCGAAAAACGCATAACCAAGCAAAATTGTGAGGATTCGGTCTTCTGTGCCCCATTCAGCCAAAGAAGGATTCATCCCATCTCCGTTGCCAGAGGATGGCGAGCCCAGATCCGTGGACAGGGAACGCAGATAGTTCGTCGCATATTCACAGAGCTGAGGGATCTTCGCAAGTTGAGTAGGAATAGATCTCAAGGCATACCAGAAGGAGGTCAACATGGTATCCGAACTCTGGCTGTTCCTAGTCAACATTGTTTGACCCTGGGCGAGCGTAAAAGCGATCCACTGGACTGCTGTATATAGGCCGGTCTTGAAAGAGATGAGTGCTTGGTGTGACTGCATCGAAAACGTCGGCAAGTCGGGCTTGAGGCTAAGAACTGCAGCGGAGAGAGTTTTTTCCAAGCGCAGACCGCTCTTCTGACTCAGATCAAGGCTGAAGCCTTCCAATGTGGTGGTGTCGATGATGCCGCCGAGTCGTGGCATGGCTAGAGACATCATAGTTTGCATGATTTTTATAGGCTGGTTCAGGAGAAAGCCGGTCAGGCCGACCACGAAGAAAATGATATCAACCACAATATCCGCCGTTCGTGATAGGACGAATAGTGGCGCCTTCACCAACATGCTGGTAGGACTTGAGAGAAACAACAGTGCAATCTTGCCCCATATATAAGGACACCAGACACTAGCCGCCAAGGTCACCGTGATGAGGAACAGGGAGAAGATGACATTCTGAACCATGCCAAAAATCGGTCCTTCCATGCCAAGAAGTTCCAGGATGCCATCAAGATCTTCTGCGTCGTCTTGATTAGCCTCATTGAGATCGACTCCAAAGAGCATGTTAGGCTCCCTCGCTTCTGCAGGTCCAGCAGGTTGTGCCTCGATGGCAATAGGAAGCGCTTGGGCAGGTCCCGCATCTCGGTTTTGGATCGGAACGAAGGGAGCTTCTGCATCGACATCTTCCACAATGCGTTCCTCGTCCTGGTCCTCTGCGCGTGGGGCATCGCCAGGCTCTGCACGAGGCTGTTCGTCGGCCTCAAAATCCGTGTGCCAGAGCCAATATGATATCTTTCCCCATAACGGGGTATCCTCAAGCGGATTTTCGTCCCCAGATATGGGAACTTCCTCAGCCTGAACATCATCTGCAATGTTGAATGGGACTTCCTGGCCTTCACCATCAAATGCGGCAGCCCCTGACGGCAGAAGTTGTTCCGCATCATTCGAATCGGGTGTGGGTATGGCGGGTGCATCTGAATCAGACTCATGTTGATCAATGCTCGAGACCGATAGTCCATTCGGTGCATCGTCACCCACATCTGACACCTCTGCAAACGACACTCTCCGGCTAGAAGTCTCTGCTGGTTCCAATTCTTCTTGTCTGAATGGCCGATACTCTGAGAACTGCAGTCCTTCAGATTCGGAGATCTCGGAAGTATCTTCAGGATACCAGTAGCGCTCCATACGGATGGGAGAGTCCTCGCCACCATCCGCATCGACGAGAGGAGGACTTGGAGTCACTAACGGAAGATAGTGATTAGCTTCGGTGTCGTCAGCGCTGTGTCTTCTAAATAGTTGATTCCAAGGTTCATTTGTATCCACATCGTTCCCCCTTGGATTTCGCCAGCGACCAGGCTGCTCCTGAGCAGTGCCGGCAATAGCTGATGAGCTCTGCGACCTAGTCCTGAAAATTGGTCTTTCAAATTCAGGTCCAGTTCCACTAGACACATCATCGTCCGTAAGAGCATGACGTGGGGACAGCGTTGGCGGTGTCGTTTCCTCTCGAGGCGTTTCAGCTGCAAGACGCTCTAGGGCTGCTATCTCATCCGCGATGTTGTTGCCGAAACGAGGAACGCGGTGTTGGTTAGGAGGTGGTCTAGGCGGAGCTACCTGATCAGGAGGTAACTGTGCTGCCAGATCCTCCATGGCAGCTATTTCGTCTGCGACATTATCCCCAGCACGGGGGACACGCGGTAGATGGGCAGGCAGATGTGGTCTCGCGTCGTCAGCCTGAGCATTTTCGTCCGGGTCGGGCATATTCAGGATCGGCTGTTGATTGATGACCCATTCTCGGATCAAAAAGACGAGGATGAATGCGGCAACCAGCAAGACACAGATCAGCTGGCCTTCGATCACGTCGACCGTGATATGGTTAGCCAAAGGAGAACTGGACCATGACGATATAAATTGAACATCGGATAACAGTGACGGATGCCTCCTGGTCGTTGGAGAAAATTCCCCGACGGAAATCTGGTCTTGTCCAGGGGTATCGGTTTGTCTCAAACGTAGGGTGAAGACGGATAGGATGAAGCGAAGTATTTTGCCAAACACGCTTTGACCAGAAAACAGCCGCGCAATGTCAGCCAAAGAAATCTGCATCGGAGGAAACACCAGTTTTATCTTCTCAAGTTGTTCAGGAACAGTGAAGTTCAGGGAGGCGGCAAGCGAGGCTCCAGGGCTGGCATCCGTGCCGTTTGTATTCGACGAACGGTCGGATATGGCTTGTATGTTGGACTCATCCACCCAGTCCCCATCTGCAAGCCAGAACAAGCCTCTCCATATCTGCCGAATGCACCAAGGCAAACAGCAGGTCCAGATGATGCTCACCAGCAAGTAGCGGGACCAGCGAGCAAACTCGGTCGCCCCATGACGAGCCAGTTGGCGCAGAAAGAGGGGAAACGGCAGGGTGGCGGGCATGGACCGGTCATAGAGTTTGGTGAATCGAAAAGAAGTCTTGCACAACTCGCAGTATTTCTTCTGGGAATGCGAGAGCCACTCCATCAGGCATTCTTGGTGGACGAATTTGATGCTGCCAGAGCATTTGCACGGATAGTATAGAGGTTGTGTGCTGGTGCCTTCGCCCCGGCAAATACGACAGTAGTCCTGTCCTTCTTCATGGCCCGTTGTCCCGACAGAGGTCCTGCGAGTGGCGATACGAGGCAGGGGGTTGGGATGTCTCTCTTCGAAAGGATCGAGCGGCATTTTGTCTTGTACCGACAGGATTGGAATTCGGAGGGTGTTTCAACGATTTGCATGTCGGCCAGGCGATGCAACTCAAGCCATCGCCGGGTAAAGAGGGAGGGAGGAAAAGGCGATGACAGTTTCAAGTTGTCACTGTCTCTACTGTCAGCAAACGAAAAGCCTCGGGGCGGAAGGTGAAGATTTGGCGGGTTGTTTCTTGAATAGACAAACGGGTTGAGGATGCAGCGCAGTCTAGGCGCAATGTCAGTGATGCCCAGTTCCGGTGCTAATGATCGTCTCCGGTCTGTCACGTGCTGTCAATTGCCACTACAGTGGAGCATATTGTAACTGCGTCCAAGTCACTGACTTCAATGCTGGTCTGTGCGTCTCACTCCCTTTGTTCGAGGAAGACTCCTTCCTAGGATGAGCTTCATCCTTGCTCTGCCTTGTACCCTACACGCTATGTTCACCCGATGTCACCAAGTAAGGAGCCCTTCAGCTCCCAAGCAGGCGAGATACGAGGAACTCGGGACTAATTGGACAACCGATGACTCTCGCCTACAAGGTGGGAGGCCTCATTTCTCCCTTTGCAGATAAAACATGCCCTCTCCGCTTTCCTCTGCCTCCAGAAATGTCCCTCATGCGTGCATCTTTTCACAGCGATGGTTGAGAGTCTAGAACGTGTCATTGGCCCCGGGAACGGCTCTCCGATCAGGATCTCAATAACTCGACCTGCAAACGGCCTCCGTTTTCCAAGCTTTGTCTGTCCAGCAAAATAGCAGTAGGGAGTTCCCGTGCGATGGCTGATCCAGTATTGCCGAAACGGCGGAAAGCATGGCACCCCAAGGCGAGGACAGGGTGCAAAACCTGCAAAGCCCGCCATGTGAGATGTAGCGAGGAGAAACCGCAGTGTCAACGGTATCACAAGCTGCCGCTCCCGCTGCCTAGATTGACTGGCTAACCAGCTAGATTTGTAGTTGCATCAAACTGGGCAAAGTCTGTGGCGGCTATGCGGACAACCCGAAACCTTGGATATTTGAACCTTGGAGCGAACGTTCCGGTCATTATCGCGGGAGTCAATCCGCGAATGATGCTTTGGAAGGACCTATAACCATTGTGTCGCTGTATGATGGCGTGTTTACATCTCCCTATTCGACTGCCGAAGCTCAGACAGCCTTGGATTTCTGGCTCCGATTGACCACTCCAGGGGGCACCGATTGTCCGGCGGATGCGATACGAAACACTCTCGGGCGGTATATTCCACAAGCTGCATGGCATCTTGATGTCGTAAGGCATAGCCTGCTCTCTGCTGCATCAACGGCACTGGTGCTTGAGGCTCGAGCGTCGAATTGGAGCCTAGAATTGCAGTCAATTCTCTCTAAGCAGTCAGTTGTCCACATGCATCTGGCCATACAAGCCGTCCTCAAGGAGAGACAACCGTCGTTATCCACAGTGCTGGCCGCAGTGATGATCGCTGTTGTCTGTGTCTGGACCGGACGCTGGGAGGAATACAATCGACACATCAATCACTGCCGTACTCTCGGTCGCGCGGTCCGTGCGAAGGGCGAGTTTGTTGACGCAGATCTGTTGATTTCTATCGACACCATGTTCCAGGTCCTACAACCATTCCCACCGGTCTCCACCGTGACGAAGGAATCTCGACTGGAGTATGTGGTCGCCGTCCTCACCGCAGCCAAGGCATGGTTTGATGATTCCCTCCCCGAGCTCGAGGAAACATCTGTGTGTGAGCCTTTGAAGACTGCATTACGCGCTTACCGCACGAGGACGATGTGGACGTTGCGTCACTGGCAGAAGTTCGACGGTCAGGGTAAATCACATGCCCACTTTGCCAGCCTCACACAGTCGCCCTTTGGCCCAGCGGTAAGGCATGTGCAACAGTATATCAACGACCACACCGACTTCGACCTGGGCTTGCTCACGACACAGCTCACGCTCGGCTTCAAGTCGACTCTACTATATGGGGCCTGCGGGAACGCTCAGAGAATGCGGGAGACGGCCATCGCTTGCCACGCTCCGATTGTGATATTGGCCTCTGATTCTCTCTGAAGTGAACTGTCGTCGTCGGTGGAGGCGGTCAGGGACGAGACACCGCCGCAGTGAAAAGCTTTTTCATGCTAGGCTACCAAGCTCATCGCGTCGTTGAATACTCTCGCTGGTCCTAGTATATTGAAGAAGATAAAAAGGTGTGAGGTTCTCTTGAGCAGTACATAGTCGTAGCGGTGCTAACAATATCCGAAAACTTCCTGTCATCCATCCCATCATGTAATCCCATCGTCCACCATCCATGTCACTTTGATGTAGGATCTGAAATCCAAGTAGCAGCAGCCGCGTGCGCTCAACCAGACATCATTCAAGCAAAATCTATATAGGTGTCCCGTAACATTCGTTCGTACTTCATTGCATGGTAGTCGGTACATAAAAAACGACAAATGGAATCTAGAATCTAGATCATGACCGTCACATCCCATCCCAACCTAGACCAAAAACTTGGGACGTTTATCCCTTTCTTCCCCCCCCTCCCCCCCCTCTTCAGGTGGATGGGTGTCGACGGCGATATCGATAAAGGGGGGCGGAACTCACTCTGAACCTATGTAGCTAGGTAAGGTTATAAGAGTCAGACGAAGCCTGGGAGTAGGACTTTCAAAGTCTTGTTGCTGGGCTCTCAAGCGCCCCAGCTGCCCCTCCAGGCGACTTCCAACTCGGACTCGTCACCTGCCAACTTCCTTTTCTTCTTGGCGATGCCGTCTCTGACGCACTCGGCCACGTCCTCGGGGTTGGTGCCGCGTTTGCGACGCTCGACGCGTTCGTCGCCCAGGACGGTGTCGTTTGCGATCAAGTTGTACACGTCGGCGATGCCTTCAAAGACGCCTGCCGTCCCACGCTGGCCGTGGCCGTTGCCGTTGCCGGTACCGCCGATGAGGGTGCCGTTGGGGGATTGGTGACGGGCGTGATTGTCGTGGTCGGATCCGTTGTGAGAAGAGGGGGAGGGGGCGAGGACGGCGTTGGTGAATCCGCCTTCCTCGGCAAACGTCTCGTTGATCTGGCGCATCTCTTCCACCCAGCGGTACGCCTTGGGCGGCATGCTCACCAGGCCTCCCTGGGCGAAGGCGAGCAGCTGCGGACTGAATTCCTGCAGGTGCGCCTGGAGTTCCTTGAGCACGCCGCACGTCTGGGCCGTGGTGAAGGACAGGATCGAAAGCGCCGTCATGCCCTTGGTCAAAGCGGCGAAACACGACTTCAACGCCGACGCGGTGCCGATCTTGGGGCCGACAATCCGCATGTTCATCAGCTCAATCATCGCGGGAGTCAGGAGCTCGGCGTGTTTGGGCCCGGACACGACGATCGACGGCTTCTTCCAGGTCTGGTCCGGTTTGAGTGATGGAGGGGCCCCGATGATGCCGCCGTCGAGGAAGTCAATCGGGATCGGGTCCAGCTCTGGCTCGGATTCTTTCTTCGGGTGAAAGGAGAATGTGCGCGAGATGGACAGTCTTCGGGGCGAGGCAGGAGTCGATGGTGTCGAGAACATGGAGGCGATGGATCGGGCCGTCTTGGGACTAATGGCATTCATGTCGATGTACGTCAGACTCGGCGCCTGCGATACAGCCGTGGTGCCTCGTCGTTCGCTGCGCCTCTTGATCGCCGTCTGCGAGCGGCAGGCTTCCAGCGCCCTTCGAGCCGTCGCTATGGCATCCCGAGGAGGCACGATGCTCAGGATAATGTCCGCCTCGGCCACGAGCTGTTCGTCCGATTCCAAGGAGGTGATCTGCGACGACTTGATCCGGTCAAGGGTATGTTGACTTGAGGGTCGTTCAGCAAGGAGTCCAATGTCATCTGGGTGAGAATCTGAAAACACTTGCCTTCTACCTTTGGCGACCGTGTAGACGGTGTAATTGTGATGGCGGAGAAGCCGGGCAACCCCCATGCCCATGTCACCTATCGAGAGGATACCTACGGCGGGGGTGATTTGCGTCGACGACGAGGTGGCCATTGTTCTTCTGTGGAGGGCTAAAGGGGTGGGTACAGGGAGACGACAAGCTTGAGGGTTTACAGGCTGAAGAGGGCCAGGGGATGTCGATGAAGTGAAGTCATAGATGATGAGATGAACTGAAGCGTGTCGCCTGACTCTCACCACCTGCCAATGTTGCCCATCTTGGCCTGGCATCCTGGGCGGTTCCCCGCATCTTGATCCCGCAACGCGGACCGACTCTTGCGTGACTTGAATTAATAAATTGCATCCCTAGTTAGAATTATCAAGGTAACACTCATTGGCCTGTCAGTGGCCAGCAGGACAAGACCATCTTTGAAGTGTCCTCGACAATATGCATGGCAGTAAAGAAATCTAATTCATCTATCCGTCTCCAAGGTCTTTGTATATTCTATTCTATGTAGTTATATGCCCAGCAAGTCAAAATCCAAACGCTCATGAAAAAATCATGTTGCTCAAAACGCGATCAGATGCTACACAGCTTTTGTGCGCCGTGATTCTCTCACATGTATCACATCCCCTGCTGCCGCCCACAATCTGTCGCTCCTCCTCCCCCATCAGGTATTACATTATTGTATAGTTAGTGGATATGATATTCTTTTATCGAGAGACTCGTTCAGTGGTGTGTTATATTGCCGAGACCTTAAAGCTCCCAGGCACCTGCTTCTGGAACACGCCGGTCGGATCATACTTGGCTGCCACTCTCTTGATGAAATTGACATTGGTCGTCCCGTACGATCTTAGAGGGTTCTGGTCCTTGTCGGCATAGTTGATGTACCTGAATGCCACATTGCCATTCCTTGATTGCGCGTATGACTCGAGGGCACGTGCGTACGCTGAGACCGCATCGTGGGCAGCCTGTTGATATGCTGCGTTCTGGAAGCCGACACTGCCGACCCATAGAATCGAGTTCCTGTTCAACGAGTCCAGGCCGAGTACGTTGCCGCCTTGTCTGGCTCCGATCTCGGCAAAGAGCGAGGGCAAGGGCTGTAGAACACATTGGGAGTTGAATTTATCGGCACCAAGGGTGGATTTTAACCTTGCGACCAGTTCATCGTGCAGCGCGAGTGCTTTGTTTGCGATGTTGACGTCGTTGTTGAAGGTGAGGGTGTGCCAGATAACGCTAGATCGGTTAGCAATGTTCATCAGACAATATCCCATGTTACGGAACAACAGCGAGGCTGGAGGGAGAAACTCACCGGTCATCGCTTGGATCCTTGAATTTCTCTCCGATCTCGCCGAGGGTAAGGAAATCCAGGTCCCGCGCGATAGCCGGCACCTGGAGAATCTCCCTGAGAGCAGTCGCATTCTCCACCCCAAGCGTATTTATGGCAAAGGTCCCGATTGAAGTTTCCCCCGGCATAAAGGAGTTGTAAGCCGCCAGGGCGATATGGGCGTTGTCAGGATTTTGGCGAAGATTATTGATGAAGTTGACTAGAGCCGTTGTGACTTGAGGGCCGACCGACTTGTCATGAAGGTTGAAGCCTCCCCAGGCAGTCGTAAGAGGCGTACTTGTAACGTCAAACCGGGTAACGATGCCATAATTCGCCCAGCCTCCTTTCAACGCCTTCCAGAGATCCCGATTCGAAGTACAATCAGCGTGGACAATCCGTCCATCGGCAAGGACAACTTCGAACCTGACCACCTGGTCGCAGGCCAATCCATTCCGGCCCGACAAAAATGAGAGGCCACCACCAGTCAAGAACCCTCCGATCCCAACACCAGCATCACGGCCGCCAGTAACGGTGACTCCAAGTGGTGCAAGAGTATTATAGACGTCTCCCCATCTTGGACCAGGTTGAATGGAAACGATCTTGGTCTGAGAATTATAGGTCACAGCTGTCATGAGGCCCAAGTCAATTGTCACGCCGTCTTTGATGTCGCTTCCGCCTGCCCACAGAACATGCCCGCCACTGCGAACTGCGAACTTGGCCTTTGCCCTGGCCAAGGCTTTTACCACTTTGGAGACGTCGGCCGTGCTTCGTGGCTGAACGATACATTGTGGTCCCAATGCGGCGATTGGTGACCAGTAAGACGCCTCGCGTGAGGCGTAGGCGGGGTTGGAGGGATAGAGCAGCAGAGAACGAAGACCTGCGCTCGAGAGGGCAGAGCACTGTGTCACTTGTTAGTCCCTTTACTTCTGATGAAAGCTGTTGCAAGCTTCATCAGGGCATAGCAGCCACCATCAACTGATCAACACAAGTGAATGTCGACGTCGGCTTGGTTTCTCTCAGTAGGTGGGAAATGAACCACCATCCATCCACACAGGGTGAATTAATGGTGTGGTGACGGACGGAAGTTTCTGGACTTACACCATTGGATGAAACACTCTGTGTCGAGACACTGTCGGTTGTCGCAGAGATTTCCAATTGCTCGATCGGCGGCGAGCTGTCCAATACCTCGATTGGCGCAGAGAGGTCTAGTTCGTCGGTTTGCGCAGACACCAACAGGCAAGCTGATAGCACCACCGCTAATCTGGCAGTCCAGAAAAACGTTCGAACCATCGTGGCGCGTATAGTCGTTCAAGGGTTGAGAGTGATGAGAACGACCGAATCCTGAAGGCCACAAAGTCGATGCTGGAGTTCGTCTTGCAAAAGCTGGAAAATCATGTACTATGTAAGAACTGCCACAGAATACTCGGACCGACCAAAGGGTGCCTGATAGGAAGTCCCATGGCAATGTACTCGGGACAAATCTAAGGAGAAGCCACAGGACTTCCACAAGTGCATTTAGCTCCACCCTTGAAGCCGATGAGTCGGTCTTGCCGAAGCCTCATACCTTGTTCATCACAAGGAGTGTTATAGCTTGCCGTCGCTTAAGTGTTCTGAACTGTTGGAGGAGAAACATGATTTCGTCTAAGTATTTCCAAGAACCTCAATGCAATAATCGTTCACTTGTCCTCGGCCTACGCATCTCCGATGGTGCCGGTTTGACAGGAAGCAGCAGCAATGCAAAACAGCATAAATCACTTGGCCGTGCCAAGTAGGTCAGATGTCGTTTCTTGCAGACCTGCAGTGGGGGCATAGAGATGGCGCACTAATGATGCCTGTCTCCCACGTAT